TGTACTTCTTAATCCCTTCACCTTTTTCACCCATTCCCCCAACCCTCCTCCCATATGGCAACTAAAAAAATGTTCTCTATATCTATGAGAATGTTTCTATTCTGCTTGTTCATTTAGTTTGTAGATTCAGTTGTCGGTAGATATGTATTTATTGCCATTTTGTTTGCTTACATTTTTTATCTTTTTCTTCAAGAAGACCCTTCAACATTTCACATAATAATAGTTTGGTGGTAATGAACTCCTTTAGCTTTCCCTTGTCTGGGAAACTCTTTATATGGCCATCGATTCTAAATGACAGCTTTGCAGGATAGAGTAATCTTGGTTGTAGGTTCTTGCTTTTCATCACTCTGAATATTTCTTGCCACTCTCTTCTGGCCTGCAAAATTTCTTTTGAGAAATCAGCTGACAGTCTTATGGGAACTCCCTCGTAGATAACTAACTGCTTTTCTCTTGCTGCTTTTAAGATTCTCTCTTTGTCTTGAACCTTTTGCATTTTGATGATGATGTGTCTTGGTGTGGGCCTCTTGGGGTTCATCTTGTTTGGGACTCTTTGTGCTTCCTGGACTTGTGTGTTTGTTTCCTTCACCAAGTTAGGGAAGTTTTCTGCCATTATTGTTTCAAATAGGTTTTTTATTTTTTGTTCTCTCTCTTCTCCTTCTGGTACCCCCAAGATGCGAATGAATGTTGATACACTTGAAGTTGTCCCAGAGGCTCCTTACACTATCCTCATTTTTTTGGATTTTTTTTTTTTTGCTGTTCTGACTGGGTGTTTTTTGCTTCCTTATATTCCAAATTGATGGTTTGCTTCTTGGCTTTACCTACTCTACTATTGAATCTGGATAAATTATTCTTTATTTCAGTTAGCTTCTCCTTCATTTTTGACTGTGCTTCCTTCATTTCTGACTGTTCCTTTTTTATGCTTTTGAGGCCCTCAATAAGTTCATTGAAGTTCTCACTAAGTTCATTGAGCATCCCTATAAGCAGTGTTTTGAACTCTGCATCTGTAAGGTTGCTTATCTCCACTTCACTTAGTTCTTTTCCTGGAGTTTTGTTCTGTTCTTTCATTTGGGACCTGCTTCTTTGTCTCCTCATTTTGGCTGCCTCCCTGTGTTTGTTTCTATGAATTAGGTAGAGTTGCTATGTCTCCTGTGCTTCCTAGGGTGGCCTGTTGTAGTAAGTGTCCTATAGGGTCCAGTGGCACAGCCTCCCTGATCTCCCAGCTGGGTCCTCGAGGTGCACCCCTCGTGTGGACATTACAACCTTTTGTTGTAATTGAGTCTTGATTGCTGTTGGCACATCAATGACAGGGTTTTACTCAGGCTGATCAGTTGCAAGGACTGGCTGTGCCCACTATCCACCCACCTCTGACTACCTTGGATGGTCAGCTGTGCAGGGGCCCACCACACAGAGCAAGGCTTACTTCAGCAGGGGTCTGGTACCCACGGATTCCTTCCTTGGGTGTGTCACTTGTGGAGGTGGTTGGGTGGTGGTGCTTCACAGTGTTCTGAAGCTGTCCACTGGGTGTGCTGGCTCTGGGGCCAAGTCAGCCACTGCCTGTGTTCTATCCAGGGCCACCAGGCATAAGCTACAAAGTGATCTGCAGATGGCTGCTTCTTGTGCTGGGCTTGGAGGTTCCCAGGAAAAGCCAAGTTGTGAACCAAGGCTGGTGCTTCTAGTGCCAGGCCTGTGGCCACTTAACGAGAGGTATGGGGCTTGCTGAGACCAGATGCTGCTTGTTTGAGAGAATTTAGGAAAACCTGAAGCAGGATCCAAGACAGGCCAATCCTATGGAAAAGCAACTGACAACAGCTTGAGTGGGCCTGAAAGTTGGGTGGGGCAAGGCCTCAGGGAGTCACCAGGGTGGGGCCAACAGTGTGAGCCAGGTTGTTGGAGTCCCAGATATGGCAGCTGTCTGCCGCTCCAGGGAAGGGCTCACCAAAGGAACAAAGGCCTCTGACAGCACGTCTGTCCAGGAGAAAGCCCCCTCTCTATCCCTCGCTCCAGCGCCAAACAGCTCAGTTCTTCCCCATATGTCCCTGGTGCCTTTCAGGGAAGCCCCACCCCACCCCCTGTTTAATCCTTACCCAAGGACATGTCCATTGACCTTAGAGAGAAAGAGGGAGAGAATCTTCAATCGGTTGTCTTCCATATACACCCTAACCGGGGATGGAACCCACAAACTTTTGGTGTACACAGTGACCCACTGAGCCACCTGGCCAGGGTCATGCAGGGGAGCTTTTATTGCCCTGTTGCATTAAGAAGATCTAATTCCATGATGGTGGTTTTATTGACAATTGAGAGTTTAAACACTCAGTATAGTTTTAACCTATATTAGAGAAATGATAGTGAACTAAACCCAAGAGAAGGACGGGAAGAGGGACAAGAAAACTCCACTCACTGGTCTTGCATTCTTCTTGCCCTGACCTTGAACGTTTATGGCATTGTCTCCTTACTCTTCACAAACCATTTTGAGTTGTATTATTCCTCTTTGACACACGGAGAAATTAAGACAGAAGAGCCTAGGTAACTGTTCAAACTCACCGGTTAGTACTCCAACTTCCATAATCTTTGAACTACCTTTCTGCCTCCCGGGTTACCACATTCACTGAATTAAAGGTGCCTTCACTACAACTCTAGGTTCTGTAAAGACAATATCAAAAGATCCACAAAAGGGCCTCCCAGAGGTTTTGTTTTCTTCATTCAAGCTGGGTGATGCTGCTACTTTCCATGGACTAAGGGGCCACTTCTCTGAGCAGCAGCATCACCACACCCAACACTTAACTCGGCGTGTTTTCAAACTGAAGTTTGTAGCCATTAATTAGTTCCTATGAGGTAAGTCATTGTCTCATTTCACAGATGAGACAGCCAGTACGGAGAGAGGTGAAGTGATTTTTCTGGGGTCAGCAGTGTGTCCCAAAATAGAGAGTGTGATTGGCCCTCTCCATAGGCTTAGCCTATGGATGAGGACCCTGCTAACAAGGTTTCAGTTATCTCAGCCGCATTCTTAACTCGTACAGTGAAAAAGACGCCTTCTCGCGCCTCCGCTGGTAGGCACAGTACATTATGAAACTGGGCAGCAGATGAGAAAAAGAAAGGTCAAATCAAGGATTTTATACACAGGAAGCGCATTTTTAGTATTCAGTTTCAGGTATTTCAGACCATGAAACTAAGACCATTTTAGTGAAAAGTGGCTCACAATAACATATTCCTTTTTTTTTTAAGTCTTTTTCCCCCTTTTTTTAAATTGATTTGAGAGGGGGAGGGAGGGAAGGAGAGAGAAAGACAGAGACAAAGAAACATTGATTTGTTTTTCCACTTACTTATGCATTCTTTCATTCACTTACTTATGCATTCTTATACGGGTCCTGACCAGGGATCAAACTGCAACCTTAGTGTTTCAGGATGACGCTCTAACCAACTGAGCTACCTGGCCAGGGCAATAATACCATATTTTTTATAAAAAGTTACATTAAGAGGGTTATGGGGGAAGGAAGTGGCTTAATTGGGGAGGACTATCAAGCAGTAGAAAATGAAATGAATTTTCATTTGTTCTTTTGGCTGTTTTTAATTTCACCAAGAAATAGATTTTTTGGAGTACATAAAATATAACCACACAAAATATAGCTATCTTTAAAAAAATGGAGGAGGGAGATGATATAAATTAGCCCCCAAGACAGGCCTTATTTTTAAATACTTGCATTATAGTGGAAATAGCCGCAGATTTCACCCAGTGAGCTCCAGGCTTTATTGAAGGATTTCTTATTTTTCTCCTGAAGTGACGATATATAGAATTTTATATGCAGTGATGTTTTCGGAATAGCAAGTATATAAGCAACGAGAGGCAAAGTACACTTAATAGGAAGCTGGCTGTCTTAGCGCTTTTCATTCTTGTATGTGAAGTCCATTATCTCCTATGATAACTTTGTTGACAGTACCCACAAATATATTTGGAGCCGGGTTTTATAAAACAGGTCCGAATCATATGACGAAAAGACCTAGCTCATGACACATGTCAGCCTTAGAGAGATGGTACATTTTCTGTTTTAAAGACTCAAACAAAACTTTTCACATTCTTCTTTGAAAAAAAAAAATTACATTTGAAGTCCTTTTTTCACCCAAACACATTTTGAGATAAGAGCTCACAAGTCTTGACATTATTTCATTTTGTTATGCGCATCTGTCAAGGAGCCGAGATACGATACAGCCGCTAAAAACTGATGATTGCGGAACAGAGAGACCTGACAGCATTTCATTTCCTTTATGTTCTGATTATACATTTATCAGAAACCCGGTATCTCCTCTAGTTCAGCTAGAAATTGGTAGAATTCAGGAACTCAAAGGCTGGGCAAAGAACTGTCCTATTATTTGGTGTCATCTTACATTTTAAGAGAAGTTGCTTGGTTGAGTCATTGTTAAAGCTTTTGCTTCTCTTTTCATTATCGTGGCCCACTATCCACAGATCACATTTCTATAGGCCCTATAACTGCTTTGCGGCACAAATTAAACGCTGGGACATTTCCCACATACACGCCCGTGTTTCAATATGTGTCAATCAGAGTTTATAAAATATAGGGATTACAACCTGATATTAACATCCAAATCTATTGTGCTCATTTTGTGTGTGAAAATGAGAAACCCTCGTGCAGACGCGAGATTTCCCAGCCTCTTTGTCACCCTGTTTTTTAATTTATCTCCAGGTTTGGAGTCAGTGAAATGATTTTGCTTATCAATTTAATGTAGCGATAAAACCTATCTGTGAATCGGAATGATCAGAACTGAAGTGGATCTACAGGTTGCTTGGCATCAAGCCCAGCCCCACGGGGGGTGTCAATGGGGCTACTGTATAGGTCTGTGCATCCCTGTATTGTTTTAATTGTGCCTCTGTGAGTGATGATTTGCGTCCCATGAAGAAGCGAACATAGAGATGTATTACCAGAGGGAGGAGGACTTTAAAACTCTGAACGTGCCCATTTTATGCCTGTCTTTTTTTATGATTACAGGTGTACTTCAGAAGGAATTATCCGGATATTACTCAGAACGGCCATGTGGCTGCGAGCACGTCTAATGGACAGCCCGCTGCCTTCACTGTTTTCGAGACGGCACTGTGATTCCACCACGACGTCGAGAGTTTTCCAGTCGTTTGGCACTGTCTGAACTATGCTTTTTTCTACATTAGCACCAAATATTTACACAAACAAGACGTTAGTTTATTTGGATCTTTCCTCCAACTTCACCCAATGATTCCAAGCTCTAACAAAATTACTGTTATTTATATTTATATGTTATAGTATGTCTTTTCTGATTCAAATCAGGAGTGCAGGCCACCAATAAAAGCTGTCTACCAGGTTTTGTGCCTTAAGAGACTCAGAGCCAAAGCACATTTTTTTTAACTCTCCACCCAAACTACATATTACTTTACAGTTATGTCAGGGATTCTATTTACTTGAAAACTGTGTGAAGCTGCCATTTTGTCTTAGCACGTTCTTTAACGTACCCAGGGTCTGTTTGCTCCCTACAGGCCCCTGGCTAAAATAGTACAGATAAAACATAGGAAAAATAAAAACTATAGTTCAGTGTAGGTGGCGTTATCATAGGGAGAGTCTACACCCCTACCTCCCCCAAATATAGTTAAAACATAGAAAGGCAATATTTAATTATATGTTCTAAAAGAAAAGGAAGAGAAAACAATGCTTTCTCAAAATAGGGGCCCTTATAGGTTATTTGATAAGGAAGGACACAGTGTGATCATTGATCTTTTAAATGTGCATGACTTTGACATGGTAACTGTTGCAGTTTTAGACTCAGCGTGGTGATATTTCAAAAAAAAAGTCCAAACTGCCCATGCGAACGGTAATTCCTGAATGTGTAGTAGTACTCTCATTTGGAGTTCTGGTTTACTGCCGGCTTGCCTTCAGTTGACCGGAAACTTTTTGGGTTAGCCTTTATTGAAATGCCTTCTAAATTGCATGCGTAGGCTCTCTTGAATTGGTGAGAAAAAAAGAAAAGAAAACCATTGCAAACATTGACTGTAATTACACAGTATATTCTCAGGATGCACCCAAAAGGTTCACTTTTATGAGCCTACACAGGTTAGTTTACATTTGACCACTAATAGCAGTTTGTTTAGGTCTTTCTGACCAGTAAATCAACAAACCACAGTACTTCCTGGGGCCTGCTGCACTTTCTCTGAACGGTGGGTCTTTCGTTTTCTTGATGGTGATGGCTATGGTATGCTGAGTTCAAGTTGCTAAGGTCTGAGTGTCGTGGTGTTGAGTGGATGCTCGTGACCTCTCAGACTAAAGTGCAACTACCCTCAAGTGCATATATTAACATATATGCCATCATAAAGCAGGTTTTTGGACTCTTCAACAGAAACATGTTTTATAGACTCAAGCCTTAACACACACACACACACACACACACACAGCAAACTACCAAAATGCACTGAGAGTGCCGTAGCTGCTGAACATTTTATATCTAGAAACAATATGGTTAGTATTGTGCCCAGTAAACGAGTAAGTTGTTTAATAGTATTTCAGGAGACTGAAATGACAACAATGGTAATAGTGAAGTTGGTTGAAATCGTGGAAATATTTTAAATGTGTGTGTGTTTATTTTATGTTTAGAGGTTAAAGGTGTTTAAAAAATGTTTCTGTTTTGTTTCTGTTTTACTGTCATCATAGTTTTTAATGAAACGAAGTTCAATGGAAATAAATGACAGTTTTCATCTTCATTTGGAAGTGTGTGTTTTTGTTCTTAGATTACTGACTTGTGTGCCTGCTGTTGAAAGGTGGTGCGTTTTCCTGAGATCAAACACGAGCGTCCGTTGCTGACTGGGTCTCTTGATTAATCGAGTGTAGCAGATATTCTAAGCAGATGGGTTGGTTTCAGACAGGTTGAAATAGTTGCTATTGAAGCAAACCCAGTTGTACCACTTCCAGGAAAAAGGAGAGGGTAGCCTATGCCCTGTACTTGAACAAGTATTAAATCTTTGAGGTTTTGGGGGTTTTTGTTTTGTTTTGTTTTCTTTATTGATTTTAGAGAGAGAGGAAGGGAGAGAGAGATGGAAACATCGATGAGAGAGAACACTGATTGACTGCCTCCTACATGCCTGCGCTGGGGATTTGACCCACAACCTGGGCCTGTGCCCTGACCAGGAATCGAAGTGGCGACCTCTTGGTGCATGGGTCGGTGCTCAACCACTGAGCCACACCAGCTGGGCTGTTTTTTGTTTTTTGAAAGGTGTCTTTGCCCTAGGCTAACAAGAAAAACCTATTGCTGCTACATTTAAAACACTGGACATCTGTAATAATGTGAACAATAAAAATAAAATATAATTTTTAAAATAAAATAAAACACTATAGAATATTGGTTCTCAAAGTGTGATCCCTGGCCTGGCAGCATTAGCATCACCTGAGAACTTGTTAGACATGCAAATTCTTTTTTTTTTCTTCATCCTCATCCGAGGACATTTTTGCATTCATCCTCAGATAGAGCAAGAGGGAGAGAGGGAGGAAGAGAGAGAGAGAGAGAAACATCGATGTGAGAGAGACACATTGACTGGCTGCCACCCACACAACCCCAACTGGGGCTGGGGACAAACTGCAACCGAGGTACATGCCCTTAGCGGGAACCGAACCCGTGTCTCTCCGGTCCGCAGGCTGACACAGCCAAAGCAGCCGGGGTTGCAAATTCTTGTTTCTTACTCCATGTCTACTGAATCAGACACTCTGGTGGTAGGGACCAGTAATCTGTGCCTTAACAAGCCCAAAGGGGTGATTCCGATATAGAATAAAGTCTGAGAACCAGTATTGAGAAGCCAAAAAACTCCTGAAACTCATTAAGAAAAACACAGAAAAGCCGGATTGAGAAATGGACACAGAGACTGCATAGGCACTTCACAAAAGAGACTATCCAATGGCCAACAACTGGAAAAGTGCTCGCTCTTGGTGGTGACCAGGAAAATGCAGACTGAAACCACACTGAGCTACCACTACACACCTACTAGAACAGCTAACAGTAAGGCTGAGAACACCGATCAAGGGCCAAGGGAGCAGGGAGAACTCCCATGCACTCCTGTGTGTATAATAAAGTGTATTTTGAAAAAATGACTTTGGAAAACAGCCGGACAGCATTTACTCCAGCTGCACACCATGTGATCCATTCATTCTACTCCGAATGTATACCCGTGCGCTAAGAGGTGTGCTTAAGGATGTTCCTAGAAACATAATTCCTAATAGCCCCAAACTGGAAATAATCCAAATGCTCACCAACAACAGAAGGAAAATAAACTGTGATGTGATGTAATAGAAACTCCACAGCAATGAAAGCTTTTAAATTACATGAACAACACAGGTGACTCTTACAAACTTAAGCCTGACCCAAAAGAATATGTATGATTCCATTTATATAAAGCTCAAACATAGTCATATCTAAACTTTAGTGTTCAAAGTCAGAAGAGTTCTTCACCTTGGGAAAGTGGAAGGTGTTGGCAATTGGGTTAAATAAAAGGGGAGCTTCTGGGATGCTTAAAAATGTTCTTTTTGGAGGGGCTGGGTGGTGGTTAGAACAGCCGTGGGCTTTTGTTTGCTGCACTTTCCTGTTGCATGTCATACTTCACAATTGAGTGAAGTAAAAATAAAGTTCTTAGCCTGTTTTTCTTTTAGAATCTTACTGAAATGCAGTGGCTTAATTGTCTAAAATGGACTAATCTGCATCTGGGAAATTATTTCTGCGTAAAATATGAGTCTGTTTAAGTGTTGTCCTGTGGTCCATAGCGAATGGCCTCATTGGAAGCTCTATTTTCTCTAACCAATTAATAAAATAAATTACACTTCCTTTCTCCAATTCCAGGATAAGTACAAACCCAAGGAACTAGAAGGACTTTCTGAATTCTCTTTTTTTAAACCACTTTATTGAGGTATGATTAACATACAAAAAACTGTACATATTTAATGTATACAATTTGATGAATTTGGAGATAAGTATAGACCATGAAACCACCACAATCTATGCAATAAAATTATCCATCAACTCCAAAAGTTTCTTTCTGCATTCTTGTATAATTTCCATTAGCATGAATGAGATACAAATAAATAAAAATAAATCTAATGCTAAATGCTTTTGATAACACTATACAGGGTTGGTGTCTTAACTTGTGAAGAGACAGCTTACACCAATTTAATGAGGCAGTGAGTTAGACCTCTAAGTGTTATGGCAGTTGGAGTAGTTAACTGTTAATTTATCAACAGATTAACTTGCCCCTATGTAAGCTGATGAAATCTGTTTTTCTTTCTGATGGTTTGGAAATAACTAGAGGCTCCTCTCCTCAAACCTCCGTATCTGTTTCACATCTAATTCTGAAAAGTTTAATATGTTCAGAATCTGATGCCCTGAAGTGTGTGAGATTTAGCACCTGGAGATGTGAGTCACTTCCTATAACCAAGTCTGTCTGGAGTGTTTTCAAGATTCACCTTTACCTGGAGTGTATGACATCTGGACACTACATTGCAAGAGAAAACGTCCTTGTCACTCTGTGATTGTAGTTCAGGGACTGGACAAACGTATACTTGACTAAAAGGAAAGAGAGAGAAAGGAATCTTTTCACATGGAACAAAGAAAACTAAGAAAGTTCAAATTAAAACAAAAAACTCTTAACAACCATGTTTATAGTCAATGTAGTTTAGTTACCAAATGACCTAATTCTCAAAAGTTCATTTTGAGAATGAAATTGAATAAGTGTGTGTCAAATAAAGGAAATCACATCTGTTCCAAAAATAATACTATGAACTACATTATTTCACAAGTACAGACTAAAAAATAGGTTTCCTCAAGAAGTACAATAAATAGATTAATTTCCACAAAATGTGGTATATGTGTTTTAATGCATGTTGATCCTTATCAAATTGAGGATTTTTAAACCAAAACACTGCCACATTCACACACAGAGTCCTTTCCACCAGTTTATATTTTAGGATTTAGAAATAAAGAATGCATATAACCAATAATCTCCAAATGAAAGTCCCCCGGAAGTGCTGGAATCTTTTCTGATACCTGCTGTAGTTTGGTTCTGTGCATCCAGCCGAAGATGGAGTGTATGTTCAGGGCGTTTATTAGGGAGCGCCGTTGGGACCAACACTTACAAAATGAAGAGGGAAGAAGCAGGGTAGGTCAAGGGGAGAGAGCCAGCTGGCGTGCGGGCCAGGCCACCTCAGCTGCGCCCACTGGGAGCTCTGGAGCTGGATGGCCCATGAAGACTGTCCTCTCAATGGCCAGGTGTTTATACCGCCACCTTGGTCATTTGCCTGCAGGCTGCCTACTAGCAGCTGGGGCCACAGTCCGTGAAGGGAGATGGGCAGCCCATCTCCGTGTCCACCACAGTATGTCACAGGTCCAGAGGGAGATAATTAGCATGTATGGTGGCAGAAAGTTCTTGGTGATGATATGAAGTAAAATGGCTGATTAAGACCACAATACCCTGTAGTCTGAAAGTAGAGACGAAAGTCCGTGTAGGGCCAATAACTTCATGCTCTGGAAAGCCATCTTGTAACCAGTTTCCATCCTAGGTAATTCCTGTGTGTTTCTCTATTACCACAACCACCTTCATGTGTTGAACTGAACTACACTTAGTTTAGTGTCCTGTTGTCACCATCTTGAAAGGTTTAATGTTTAAACAACGGGGCCTGCTTTTCCCATCTTGTGCGGCACCCTGTAAATTATGCGGCATACCTCGGTTACCAGTATTTATGGATGGCCTGTTTCCTCACTGAACCGAGCTCTCTAAAGACTTGAACTGTGCCCTGTGCACTGTTTAATGACATCTTCTAGCAAGTGTCTGGCACATAGTGGGTGCTCAATAAATGTTTGCTGAAGGAATGAATGGATAATGGCTAAGAAAATATGTTTCTTTTAAACTTGATAACTTCGTAATTTAAAGAGATGCCTAGGATACTAGAAAGTCCTGGTTTTGGAGTCAGTTACTCAGATCTGCATGACAATTCTGTTGCTGCCTCTTGCTAGCAATGTGGGTGACCAAGGAATATATTTTCAAAGTGGGACAGGAGAATGAAAGGAAGGCACTAACCAGCCTAAGGTGCCAGGCCAATGTACTGACACCATCCTTGATGTGGTCGCCCTATCGACATGTGCCTTCGTTACACGCTTGGGTAAGTGTCTCAACATCCCTGCACCTCAGCTTCATCTGTAGGATGGATGTAGTTCCTGCCCCTGCACAGTTGCTTTGATTGGGCTGATCTGGTTGGGACAAAGAGCATCCAAAGAAACAGGATGAAATCATTAAACTTGGAAAAGAAGACAGTCCCCACTTCCACCAAGATGGGTGGGTGGGGGTAGGTTTGTAGACTGTAGAAGGAGGTCCTCATCTGATGGCTGAAACCAAACTGTTCTTACCTCACATGTAGTTCAAAAGAAACAAGCGCATGGGGAGGAGCACAAGCTCTGTAGTCAGTCTTCCAGGCCCCAGTACTGGCTCCTCTGCTCATTGGCTGCCGGGGGTGAGACACAAGTTCTACTGTCTTCGGGTTGGAAAGCACACCATGCTTCAACTTCACTGTAACATTGACATGGGGTAGTCGTTTTCTTAGAAGGCTGTTGCAATAGGACAGTGAGTGACA